CCCCCCCCCTCCACACACACGCACACAGCGAGCGAGAAAAGGAAGTAGAAACCAAGAAAAGAATGGTCCAATTGCTACCTTGTCTTCCTACCCGCCGAATCCCAACAACGAACTTTCCTACGGCCGGCTCCCCCCTTTTTTGCTCTGCGTGGGACGTTTTTCCCTTTCCCTTTCCTTTTTTACTTTCCTCCTTTGTTCCCTCTCTCTCCGCCGCTCTTTCCTACCACTCTCCCACACAGCGCGTCAACGGAGCACACAGAACAAAATCACTGGAAAAAACTGGATGCCTCCCCTCTTCCTTCAACCCCTGCCCTCTTCGCTTTTCGTTACTTTTTTTCCCCCTTCGCATCCTCGCGCTGCAGAGGCGGAGCGAAGACGAGCAACGGCGGGTGGGGCCGGCCACGCGCCCACAGACGCACCCGCACCATCTGCTGCTAATATCAAACATAAATACGTATACTTCCTTATTGTTCTTTTCCTCCTTTTTATTGTCCTGCGACTCCGTTTCCGACATCTTCACGGTCCCGCAACCTCCCTCGCGACTTCTCCCAGACATTTCCCTCTCCTTCCTGCCTCACAGGCCTCACGGAACGCCAGGAGAAGCAGCATTTTTCTGCGAGACCGGTCACTACCTTTCACGGCTTCGACAAAAGGCACTGAAAAGTGGTGCCGGGCAGGGCGGACCGTACTACTTTCCTCCCCTTCTCAGCACCCGTAACACGCGTCCCCCGGCGCTCTACGAGAAGAGCATCAGGAAGGCAAGCATGAGGGCAAAGAGACCGATAGCCTCCGTCAGGGCGAAGCCGAGAATGGCGTAGTTGAACAGCATCTTCGTCAGGTTCGGCTGGCGTGCGCAGGCGACGAGCAGGTTGCCAAAGATGGTGCCGATGCCGAGCCCGACACCCGCGAGGGCGATGGCGGCGAGGCCGGTGCCGACGTAGTGCAGCCCCTGCACGGAAATGGCTACAGTCGACGCCCTACGCACCACCAGCGACGTAGACGAGGGAACCGCGGCGGTCACGCGGCGCGCGACGGGCGAAGCGATCATCAAACGGCGCAACATCTTCTCAGTAGGTCGGTTATGTGAGTGGTACTTACGTATGTCTGCGTGCCTAGCGCTGTATAAATCGCGGATTCCTACTTTTCTCTTTTCGTTTGCAACAAGCCCCCGAAAAAGTGAAAGGAAAAAAGAAGGAGAGATAAAAGCGCTCTGTCTCTCTTTCTCTCTCTCTCACACACACGAAGACGAGGTGCAAACGCACCGCGGTAGGGAAGCTGAGCAGAGCAGCCAAGCACACACACGCAGGAAGTGGCGGAGCGGCCCTATGCTCTCTTCGGTTCAAGTAAACTCCCCAGACTTAGACTTATTACCCGTTTACTATATCGGCGCAGAAGAATAGAAGAGATATGTCGTCGGCGTCCAAGTGCAAACGCGTGCATGGTGTTAGAGCGTCTCTTCTATTCTTTTCATGGGGGTGAAAAAGAAGGGTCGCCGCCCCATCGCGCTTGTTTTCCTTAGCGACTTTTTTTTCGTCTTTTTTTTTTTGTCTTCTTCGTACACGGCGGCGGCGTCTCGCCTCTTGCGCAACAGGGGAGGGCGAGGCAGTGAGATAGCTCCGCGCTCCACGAACACGCTCACCCCAGTTCTTTAACATGCGCACTCACGCACCGCGGTGGCGGCGACCGCGGCTGTCAAACGCAATCTCTGCCTTCTGGAACTTATTTTCGCCGACGTACTCCTCACGCCTTGCCCGCACCCGCTTCAGCCGTCCACGGTCCATTTCACTCTCCCACATCGGATCCCGCACCTGCTGGCGGAACTTTGGCGCGTGTCGGGGCCGGGCAACCGTGCCAGGCACGGACTGCTGCTTCATCCCCTGCACCACCGCCGCCGCCTTGGGCCCGACGACTGCATCCGCCTCCTGCTGCGTCTCCGCGGTGTCACCCGCCGCCGGCGTTTCGGCTCTTGTCGCGGCTGCTGCAACCAGCGCAGGCGGGGCGGTGCGTCGAATGGCCTTTATGATGCCGCCGTAGCGTGAGCTGCAATGCCCATTCTGCGAAGCAGGCAACTCCTGTTTGGCCGTGGCAGGAAGGGACGCAACGATGCCCTTAGCGGCGTCGACGCCCCTCCGCAGCTGCCGCGCCTCGTCATTCTCATCGGGGGAGGCCGAGGAAGCGGCAGGGGAGGTCTCACGCCGCCCATTGGAGTGCCCGTGGTGTGGAGGCTGCTCCTTTCTTGCTGCCTCTAGTAGCTGCTGCCGCGTGGCGGCCGCCTTCTCCTGCATCACCCGCGCGACCTCCGCCTCACTCAACGGGCGGCCCACATCCTCCTTTTCGGCGCCTTCCCGCACGGACTCCGACAGCATCGACGTCGTGAGTGTCCATGCCGCCTCCGTCGTTGTCGTCGTGTGGCGCCTGCTCAACAGCTGCGACGCACGGGTGTCCTCCTTCCGCGTTCTCACTGCACCCGACGAGGGTGGCTCGATACGAGAGTAAAATAGCATATAGGCCTGTTGCCGAAGCGCACGCTCCTCATCGCAGTAAGAGACGCTTTCGTCGTCGCATAAAAGCCACATTCCATTACGGGAGCGCACAACAGAGCAATAGTGGCCATAGGCGAGTGAGTTGCCCTCATGGATGCAAATGGCATTGAGTTCATACAGGCATGAATGCTCCTGTGCATCTTCACCCGCAGCACGACGAGCCGCTGCCTTTGCAATCCCTTCCGCGGTACAAAAAGGGACCAAATTGAGTTGCTTTGGGTACTGGACGTGCCTACTTATTTTCGCACCCATGCAGTTAAAACGTTTCATGTGAATAATGAGGACAGGTGGAAGCTTGTGAAGCTGGAAACGTTTCGTTGCCCTCACGCCCACTCCGCGCGGGCTGATGTAGGAATGCCCGTCCAACCGTTCCTCCTGGCAGAGTTTTGCCAGGCAGTGATGCAGTGTTTGCCCCACCACCTCCACGCTGAGGGTGATAAAGGGATCGTAGGTATTAGAGACCAACGCATCGCTGCTGTGGCCACGGCCACTTAGCTTTAAATCTGCCGCTTCCTGCACTTTGCCTGCCTTTGCAAGACGATGAATTTCTTCCTGCCGGCTCCACGCCACCACGGAGCGAAGATACCCACCAATGATGCGCTGCAATGCGTTCGTCTGCTCAATGTGCGGGCTAACCTTTCGTGAGCCAACCTGGCGAAATAGAATAGATCGGTGGCAAGCGTGCAAGAGGTGCACCGCAAACTCGTGGGCATCGCCCTGTCGGCCAGGCCTAAAGTGGGGAGAGAGGCTTTTAAGGTGAGAGACAATGAGGCCTGCGCGATACGGCCGGTTGGATGGGGTGTGAATCTTCCGTACAGTCTCCCCCAAGGCGTACGCGTAGTCGTAGGAGGCACCCACCGCATGTGAACATGGTGTCTTAAAATTACCAGCGAAATACTGCGCAAGCGCCGGTGTGTACGCCACGGCTTGCAAGACACTGTTGACAAAGCACGTGTTGCCCATGTTAAGCAGCCCGCAGCCGCTAGGCCCAACCTCGCGCCAGCGCAGGTGCAGCAAGTGACGCAGCTGCGCATTGCGGCAGAGCATCAGTTCCTCCTCGAGACGGAGCGGGTCATCGTCGTCAGCGTCAGCGTCGCCGTTGCCTGAAGCTTCACTTTCGCCAGACGAGGCCTCGTCGGCGTGGTCGTGCGCCCTCACTTCCCGCGCGGCCTCGCGGGTGTGGTGGGGATTTAACACAACCGCATGCCGCGGGTAGCTGACGACAGCAGGCTTCCGGTACCGCTCGAAGTGAATCGGTCGGAAAACGACATTACGCCCGACAAACCCATTGGAGCCCCCCACCACCTCCATGTTGCGTTCCCTCTTGCGCTGTTTCCCCGTGTGCCGCCCCCTCACCCTCGGCGCCTTGTCTCTCTGCGGCGGCGGCCACCCCCAGCAGGAGCAGCCGTCAGGAGGAGGAGAAGGAAAAGGAAAAGAGAGAGGGGGAGAGAGACAGGTGCGAGGGCGCGCATCCCCGCGTGGGGCGCCTGGCGCCGCGAAAGAACACGAATAAAAAAAAGTAAAAGTAAATGAATAAATAAACGACAACGACAGCAACCGGGGGTAGGCCCGCGTCCCAACCCCGTGGTCTAGCGGCTTAGGCGGAGGTTCAGCGGCGAGGAGTATCGGCCGCCCGCCGACACCGGCGCGGTTGCCGGGCACGCCGCTAAGCGACTGCAGCCTCCTACCGCAGTGCAAAGTGCTCTTAACTCCCGCAGTACCGCCGTCTCCGTCGGACGCGAGAGGAACATGCGTGACAAGAGTTGCCGCATCGCCTCGCTGTGCTGCGCTGCCCCTGACGAGTTCGTCAAGCGCGGCACGCGTCCGGACTTGATCTGATGCAGCAGCGCGTCGCGACTCAACGCTCGCCACGCCACGGTTCCATCAAAAAGAAAAAACAGCAGTTGCGCCTCAAACCACATGTCACTGCTGCCGTCACACAAACGCCCAGGACGCACCAAAAGCGGCATCTCAGCCACCCACGCCTCTCTGCTTTGTAATTGCCCACAAGCCTCATAGGCCTCATTTGTGTTAAAAAACATACAGTTTGAGCGTCCACGACAATAGAAGCAGCGGCAGTGCGAGCTGACGTTGCTGTACGGATACCGCGGAGTCGCCAGTGGGGCCGCAGTCCCCTTCTGGAGGGTGTCAATGTCAATGAGCCGCACCGCGTAAAAGTCATCGCCTTCCTTCTTGAGTAAATACTGGCCGGGGTGATTGTCATCGTAGAGAAAAAAGCCAGCAGGATGGCCTGCGTGCAGAAACTCGAAGATGCAGACAATCTGCACGGCAATCTCCAGCCGCTGCCGCAATGAAACTCTCTTACGAGCACCCCACGGGCTCAAGAGCGACTGTAGCGTCACGTGGCCGCCAAGCACGGGTTGAACTTGAAAAATTCCATTGTACTTGGAGGAGTAGCAGCTAAATGCCGGGTAATGAATCAGTGGGCTCCGCCGCGACCGCTCTTGCATAAAGTCACGAAAACCCTGAAAGCTAAAATACTGGTACGGGTGAAATAGTTTCACAATCACCTTTTGCTTCCGCCACTTTCCGTGAAAAATCGCGGTCCTGCTCCCATACTTGATCGAACGGGCGAGAAGAACTCGGCCCGGAAGATGCTCGCATAGAAGTGGCTGTGTGACTTCCCCTTTCATGTCAAGGCGTTGCCCAGGCGAGGAGTCGCGCAGCGTCTGGCCCTCGCCGGGGCCGTAGCCCTTGGGGCAGTGTATGCCAATCACCAGGGCGCTCAGAGGAGACCCGTCCTTCCACAGATACATGTTATCCGTCGGCAGTTGGGTGAATGCGCAGTTTTCCTTCGCGGCGGCCTGGCGGAGCGGCTCCGTCAGGGCCATCGCACGCAGCGTTGACGACGGGGGGCTCATGAGGACGTAAGTTGTGGTGGCTGCACCCAACACCGTGGCCAGTCCCTCCTCCAAGCTGGGAAAACTCGCCAAGCCGCCCTGCAGCAGATATCGCACACTCAGCACCTGCACCGCACTGAACGCACCACCAAAAACATGGGCGCGGCCACCGTAAACGTTGGAGGGGGTGTTGTCGCCTCGCCCAGCATCAGCTTCCAGCACCCCCTCGTAAAGAGTTTGCAATGACGGGAACCTCAACCCACTCGCCTCGGCCGTTTTTTGCATGCGACTAATTTGGCTAGAAAGCCGGTTCATGATGCTACGGTTTGACCCCTCCAAAAAGTCCCTCGCCCTCAAGTCACTGGCCGTGTCTCCCTGGCATTTCGTACTTGATGAGAAGAGCAGCGTAACTGGTGCATCACCTCCCTGCTCCGTTACCTTATCGTAGACTTCACGGAACGCCATTGAACACGCCTTCAGAGCCAAGGGAGAAAGGAGTGCACAGCGCAGAACCTCGCCGCAGCGCACATGTTTCCCTGCCTCGGGTTGCATGCTTTGCCGCTGCCGCTGCCGCTTTAGTTGCAGCTTCACAAGGCCAAGCGCCTCACGGTCGAATTCCTCGTCTGTCGATATCTTCACGCGTGTTGCCGTGACCACCGCATGTGTAGCCTTGTTTTCACTGGGGACATACGGGGGTGGTGAGGATGCCGCTGGTGCCGGCGGCGATGAGGTTGGCACTTGCGACCCTGCGCCTGTACCCCAAAACGATAGCAACGCGGCTGGTTGCAATAAAATGAGGAGGAAACACACACACAGCACATATGCAAGGATACAACACCGCCGCCTCTGGCGCACTTCCCTCCTCCTGCGCATAGTGTGCCCACCGCCTGCTTATGTAGACACTTCCGAGCCCATGAGCAGAAGAACGTAAAAGAGCAAAGGGGCGTTTTTGAAGCACGGGGGGAGCTCGTGGGCCAATGCATGGATGCAGTATCATTGCCAAATATGTCCTTCTCCATCCCTCTCTCTTTGTCCCTCGCTGGACTCTCACTCTCACTCCCACTCAGACACAGAACCACAGTGGAATGGATAAAGAGCGAGAAAGCGAGAGAGAAACGGACATGGATGGAAGTGGCATCATCCAAGTGTGTATGACGCCCCAAGAGGCCTTTTCCCACGGCCGCTGTTCCTGCGCGCACTCGAGAACAGACGGACCCCATGACAGAGGAGCGTGCGACGGGGCGTCAATCAGCAATCTATGGGTGCCCGTGATGGCAATGAAAACGGCCTTCACGGCGTGTGATCCTCCCTGTCATCCGTCCTTGGACGCTTTACCACAACACTGCCAAGCGTGAAAAGCGTTCGACGGGCATTATAACGGCGTAATTCTTCAGAGCGCGGCGCCGGCGCCAGGCTAAGGGCCTCCTCCTTGCGAGCTGCAGAGGCAACGTCAGAAGCAGCAGTGGCCGCCCCACCGCTAGGCTTCACCGACGAGCAGGCCGATGCGGAAGTTGCGGCGGCAGGTCGGCTCAAAAAGAGTGTCCGCACAGGATGAGAAACAAGGGAGCCACACAAAGTGGTGTTCTTGGAAAGGCCCGGTGGGTTGCTCGCACCTGTGCATTTTGTAGGTGTGATCGCCGCAACCGAAACACGGAAGGCACTTGGGTTTCGTGGGGGATTTGCTTGCGCAATGGAGGTTGACGGGCAACTCCCCACCACTTCATGCAACGTTGCCTGCCGCTGGGAGTGTGGCGGGGT